CGCTTAAAACTGAATGGGCTACCAAAGAGCATGCTCAAAAAAATTCAAACAATTTTATTGAAAAGTTGCAATTTTAATGAAAATTTGTTAAATTTTTCCAATCTCTGTATAAAGTTTGATAGTTTGATTTATATGGTTTTGGTTAAAGCATGAATTATATTTTTATGAAAAAATAAAAAAAATTTAACTTTAAAAACCTTACAAATATTTACAAAAAAATCACCGTGTACTCATTTATACACCCCACTGTATATGATAAGCACAATATACATATGTACATATGTACTTTTCAACTTTTTTTTTGGAAAAATTAAATCTACCAGTGGTAGTGTAAAAATGTTTAACCCTGAAATCTACATGGTATCATGCAATGATATAGCGGGATATGATTTTAAATAAAGATTATTTTTCAAAAACCTATCGCAGGAATCCTATTGAAAAGTTTGAACCCAGTTATAACTATCACTTTTTGATTGCAAAATTCTCAAAAATATCGTAAATAGCTCCGAGGCGGACCGTTTAAATGAAAAGTGTTTTATACAACTTCAATCGGAAATTCAATGGGCTTATTTTAAGGAAAAAGACTGAAATTTGGTAACCACTTCTGAAGATATTTGCAAATGCAAATATTTGCAAAAGTGTATGGACTTTTTCAAACCTGATAAAACCGAAGTTTAGCTATATCTGTGAAACTTTTCTACTTTCATTAAATTTGATTCCATATTCGGATTCAGTAGGAAATTTTGCATGTGAAATGATGGTCAATTGGCTAAAATCAGAATTACATTAAGCTGGATCATTAGATTCTTTCATAAGGAATTTAATCAGCTACCTATCAGAAAATTTTCAGTCAAACAAAACACGAAACTGGACAAAAGGAATTATCACGACAGAGCTGAGTAACATAAATACTCAAGTATTGACATAGTAACTACTACTATCGTCGATCTAGACTCTATATTCTAGAGCCGTTATTATACATACGAGAGCGCTTCTTGCCATTTTAACCCTTATTATTCTGCCAAAGTTTAAAGCCCAATTGTTTCCAATCTGTCAATTTATATGCCGTAGATGGTGTAATTTTTATGTTGCTGACCACGTTTTCATAAAAACGATTTTGCGTTCTTTGAAAAATCTGTCCTCCAGTTTAAAAAAGACACACACCTGTTTTTTTAAGACACTAAATAAAAGAGGAATTCGCTATTATTTACCAGCAGTGTAACAACATCTGTGCGGAATGATAAATAAAGGCGGTTGAGGATGTATTTTATAGCTGCAAAACCCCGCCTACTTTAAATTTAAAATTAATATCTTTAAATTAATTATTTATACTAGATACTTAGTCTTTATTAATGTGTATTTAAAATTAATTTAAATAAATTTAATAAAACTGAAGGGACAATTTAAAAATAGTGTTTATTGCGGGAGGGTTTTTTTTGACAAATTGACACAAAAATATTATTTTTGTTCTTTTTTCACGATTTCTAAGCATCGATAGACATTATTCATATGCCTAATGTACATAAATACATATCTATGTACGTATGGACATGTCGTTACCATAATTCACAAAGGCCATAACCAACACCATTTTCGAAACTGCGTTAATTCACAGATTTTGGTAGGATGTTTTAAAATACATCTTCAGTACAAATTTTAAAGTGTGGCTACCAAAAACAACGGAGTTACATGCACTGTTGCCGTCGCTCAAAGAACTTTCTAACCAAGATTAGACGAAAAAGTTACCAAATGTGAGGAAAAATAATCAGTTTTTTTTTTATTAGATTAACAATTCAGACATCACAAATTCTTTTATACAGTACGTATAGAAAAAGTTTACAAACCAAAGAAAATCAATTTTTATTTGCATTTTTGAAAAATAAATCCTTACAGCCTTAATATGTAAATACATATTTTAGAAAATCAGCCTTTCCGTATTAGATGCATATGTATGAATGTTAATATCTTCGTAAACATTACCAGACTCTAAATGACGTTTTTAACGTTTAGTACATAGGTACACAGTTTCCCACTTCTTTGTAAGAATCAATGAAATACCTAATCTTCGTGAACAACCATATTGTATGTATTTTAAGATCCCCCTTTCGTCATTGAACTACAATTATTTACTTTTGAATTAATAACACAATAATAATTTATCCTTGTGATTTAAAATTTTTTTATTTCAGACGGATGACAAATTATCTTTTAATGAATATATGAGTAGTCCACTTGCACACAGCGTTATGTGATTTTATAAAAGTAAACCATAAATTAAAAAAAAAAAAACGTCTACGACAACAAGTAACATCCGAACTGTATCTTTTTTTATTACCTGAAAATTTGGATAAATAAGAGCCTAATACCATTAAAAAAGTAAAATTCCAGTATGGTAGATTTGCAAATTTTATATTTAAAAATTTAATATTGCAAGTTTTGAAACTGTAACTTTTACATAGCTAGCTTTTTTTAGCTTTTCGCGTTCTCTCGTCTAGGAAGATTGGTTTGCTTCTTTTTTGCGACCTCTTCCACTAGGCACCGACACTACCACGTTTTCTTGCAGTTTTCTAAGTTCATACGAAGAGGAGATATTTGAAAGTGTATAAATAAGTATTATAGCGACTTTTGCAAGAGTAGTTAACATTCCATGCTATTTTTTCAGAATAAAGAAAAATTTTTCACTCTGCTGTTAGTGGACATGAAACCCACCAAAAACTAAAAATCTAAAAAAAAATTAAATTTACATAGCGCACTTTGCAAGTGGACTACTCAATTGTTGAATATGCTATCTTATTTGTCCTGTCCCTTCTTTTTATACAATTAAGGAGCGGCTGAATGGTTTAACGATGTTAGCGGTACATAATGATGTGCCGATTACAACACAGGAAGTAATTGAAAAAATGTGTGTTAAGCAAGGAAGATTAAAAATCGCTTTATAATTAATAAGATTTTGTAGACTTGTACATAAATAAATGTAAATAGATACGCGTAAATATATAAATATGCAGATATATTCAATGTGTAAAAACTGAAGTGTATACTAACGAAACTTCTACAAAACAAAACTGGACTACACACTAATTAATTAAAATGGTGTAGTAATTTAATTTTTTAAATTTAAATAAAGCATGAATTCCCCACGGAATAACCGAGTAGACAAAAAATATATAACGGTAGAAATAGCACATACATACATATATGAAAGAATGCCCACAGGCGACGCACTATAGGCAAAACACGAGTTTTTTTTCAAAATCGTAGATCTTCGCTTAGAAAAGAGATAATAAAATGCAGCATTTAACCCTTTAATGCAGAGTCTGTCATATATGAAACGCTTTTTAACCCTTTCAAGGCAGAGGAAAAAGGTTCTCAATATGCTTTTGAACGTGCTTTTTCTCATGTTGACGTAGATATTAATCGTAGAAAAATTTTCCATAGTAAAATAATAAAAAAAAAATTAATAAATAAAAAAAATAAAATAAAAAAATAAAAATATTAAAAATAAAAATAAATAAAAAATGAAAATAAATAAAAAGTACGTTGAAAACATATTGAGAACCATTTTGCCTCTGCCTTGAAAGGGTTAAAAGGCGTTTCATAGATGACAGACTCTGCATTAAAGGGTTAAATGCTGCACTTTCGTAAAGATATCGACCAGTATAACCATTTTTGTTATATATTTTTTTTTGTGAAAGCTGATAGTTTACGAGTTATTAGAGTTTAAAGGTAGCTTTTCTTTTTCCAATGTCCCAAGAATCGAGTCTTAAGATAAAATAAAGAGAAATCTTTCAGAAACAGTGCTAATGGTGTATCAAATATAGTGTTTTCTAGTGGAATGGGAGCCAAAATCCAAAATCAAAAAAAGTGACATTTTGAACGGTATTTTAAGGGTTAAGTTATTGTTGTTGTAACTTCTCTATAGTTTTCCTATATTATATGATCATTTATCTTCACGATAAAAAAATTTTCATTCCATTATCTCTTTTCTAAGCGCAGATCTACGATTTTGAACAAAAACTCGTGTTTTGCCTATAGTGCGACGCCTCTAGCCATTGTGTATCACAACTTTAAGTTATCGATGTAAATTTTTTTTTAATCCCCCCCTTCGCCAAATCCTGGCTACGCCACTGATACGAGGTATTTATATATGTACTGTCTTAGTATCGTCATAGTCTTTAGCCGACCATGTACTTATGTTATGTATTCTGTATATTATAAAACAAATACATACATATGTAAGTAATATTAATACATTCATTCCAAATATTCTTACTTGGTTTCACTGCCGGGGCTGCCACTGCTGCTGCTACTCTCCTCAACCTCGACAGATGTAGCTGGCCTATGTCAATTAAAAACTACAGTAAATATTAAAAAAATAACCAAAACGGGAAAGGCCTTAACAACTTCACAGGCAAGAAAAATATAGCCAAAATTGGTTAATAGTAACCAAAGCGGCAACACTGGTTACATGCCACCTTTTAAGAAGTCCTACCTGTTTTTGATACTTTGTAACACATAAAAATAAAATAAATAATTATTTGGCGCCTACACACTTTACTCGGTAATTGGACGAGCTACTCCGCCAATTTGTGGTGTGCGTATTGATGTTTGAGGGTCCGAATGCCGGATTTCATCCATTTCATCCATGGTCGAACGTCTGAAAGATAGGAATTCGTGTACTTTGTAGCATTTATAAGGCAATATATCTTTGGCTTCTAGGTAGTGGGATTCTCCATTGAACATATCTAGTGTTACATACATAAATTCTTAAAGTAATAATTACAACAGTATTCTTGTTGGATTCTGTGAGTAAAAAAAAAATCGCGTGTACGTAAAGTTGGTACACTGCGTATCTCATTTTATTTGAATTTATAATTTACTGAGTAATGATTTATGTAAATTAAAGCCAATGCTTTATTTTTTCTTGGCTCAAACCCCCTTATGAATATTAACGTATATCCTTACTTGAATTTAGATTTTTTGCTCTCCTCTACTTGCAGCCTGACGCAATTGTGATGCGCATCTCGGCCAGTGACTTGGATGATGGCAACAATAGTATTGTCGAATACGAAATTCTACCCGATCGCGATCATTTATACTTTAAAATCGACAAAGCAGCAGGCATTATTTATCTAAACCGTCCCATCGACAAACGTCCTGGCCAATACTATACAATCAATGTACGTGCCTATAATAGTATAGTACCAGACCCACCACAAGATGCGCAAATTGAAGTGCGTATACGCGTTGTTGAGTCGTCAAAGAAGCCGCCCTCCTTTGTTGATCCCATCGAAGATCCTATTTACCTGAAGGAAGACTACATGAACTACTCCACGCCTATTGTTACGTTACGTGCCGTTTCAAATGTGCCCGACAAACCGGAAGTCATCTTCGAATTAATTACGGGGCGAACCGAGCAAACGAATAGTAAAAAGACCTTTGTCTTCAATCAGACCGGCACGACGGTAACCATTGGTTTGGGAAAATTACTCGATTATGAATCTGTCACAGAATACACATTGACAATGAGTGCGCGCAACACATACGATTTAGTGGCAGAGCATATAGTTAAAATCAAGGTGGAGGATGTAAACGATAACATACCGTATTTCACAGAGGTGAAAAAGGGTACATTGCTTGAAAATGAGCCGCCAGGCACACCTGTGATGCAGGTACGTGCTTTTGATATGGACGGCACAGAAGCGAATAATATTGTGTCTTTTGAGTTGGCCGATAATCGTGAATATTTCAAAATTGATCCGCACACTGGCAACATAACGGCATTGACCACATTCGATCGTGAAGAGCGTGACTTCTACAATGTGAAGGTGATTGCTAGTGACAATTCGCCATCAAGTTTATACAACAATGGCGAGCCAAATCGGGGACAACAAGTGTTTCGCATCGAAATTGCGGACAAGAACGATCATAAGCCACATTTTCAGCTACCCGAATATGTACCTGATCGCTTGCCAGAAGATGCAAACATTAATTTTATTGTCATTGAGGTAATGGCCGAAGATGAAGATAATGCTTCACAAATTCAATACACAATTGAAAGTGGCAATGTTGGGAATGCGTTCAAAATCGAAGAGAAAACGGGCAAGATCACAGTGAACCAACGGCTGGATTATGAGAACATTACCGAATATGTGCTTAAGATACGTGCCTTTGATGGTATTTACGACGATTATGCAACTGTTAAGATAGAAATCGCGGACGTTAACGATAATCCACCAGAGTTCAAGGAAAAGTACTCGAAAACCATACAAGAAGAAATGGTCTACGATTACTGTATACTGAATATTGAGGCTTATGATCCTGACATCAAAAATCGCTCAGCAGATCAGCACATCAAGTATTCGGTGGTAAAAGAGGAGCAAAAGAAGATGCTAACAATTGACAATGACGGCTGCTTAAAGCTCATACAGCCGCTGGATCGTGATCCACCAGATGGTCACAAGAGTTGGCAGGTACTGATCGCGGCCGTTGACGAAGATGGATATGGTTTGAAGTCGGTGACGCATGTGATAATCAATCTGCAGGATATTAACGATAATGCGCCATTCTTGGTGAATACGATGCCAGTTATTTGGCAAGAAAACCGAAATCCCGGACAAGTTGTGCAATTGCAAGCGAATGATTATGACGAACCGCAGAATGGGCCGCCATATACCTACGGCATCGATAGTGAGGCGTCTCCAGATATTAAGGCCAAGTTTAGCATCGATAACGATTACCTATTCGCAAATGTGCAATTCGATCGCGAGGAACAAAAGGAATACTATATACCCATTAGAATTAGCGATTCCGGACAACCGAAACGAAGTAAGGTGAGCATCTTGCATCTGATAATTGGTGACGACAATGACAATGCGATGTCGGAGGGTTCATCGCGTATATTTATATACAATTACAAAGGCGAAGCGCCTGATACCGATGTGGGGCGTGTGTTTGTGGACGATCCAGATGACTGGGATCTCGAGGACAAGGAATTCCGCTGGAAGAATGGCATACCACACGATAATTTCCGCTTGAATCCGAGCACAGGCATGATAACAATGCTTGAAAATACACAAGAGGGCGAATATCTGCTTGAATTCGTTGTTACCGAAGAGTCGACCTTCATACCGCGACATTCCGTAGATGCCGATGTTACAGTCATTGTGCGGGAGTTGCCCGAAGAAGCGGTTGATAAAAGTGGCAGCATACGTATTTACAACACTACCAAAGAGGATTTTATTAGTGTGCCTCGCGACGCGCAAGCTGACGACTCACTTTCACTAAAAGATCGTCTGCAATTTTCGCTCGCCAAACTGTTCAATACATCCGTTACAAATGTAGATGTCTTCACAGTGCTGCAAAATGCAAACAACACCTTAGATGTGCGGTATTCGGCACATGGCTCACCATACTATGCACCCGAGAAGTTGAATGGTATTGTAGCGCAACATCAACAAATGCTCGAAAATGAATTGGGCTTACAAATGCTAATGGTGAATATTGATGAATGTCTCATCGAGCGCTACAAATGCGAAGCGTCGTGCATGAATACGCTACACAAATCGAATATTCCGTACATGATCTACTCGAATACATCGTCATTTGTGGGGGTGACAGCTTTTATTGAGTGGCATTGCGTTTGTGAAGCGAGGCTAAGCTCGTACTGCCTCAACGGTGGCACACCGCGCATAGGCGAGAACGATTTGTGCGACTGCATCGATGGTTTTACGGGGCCGCATTGTGAATTGGTCTCTGTTGGCTTCTACGGCAACGGTTACGCATTCTATGAACCCATATCGCCATGCGAAAACACAAGAATTAGCCTCGAAGTGGCGCCCCAAACCGACCAAGGCTTAATTATGTACCTAGGGCCCTTGAATTATAATCCACTTTTGCCACTATCCGACTTCCTGTCATTAGAGTTGGTAAAAGGTTTTCCCACATTGACGGTGGACTACGGCTCTGGTGCCATACGCATCGAACATCGGCACATTCAATTGCAGGTAGGCAAATCCTATCAGTTGGACATCATACTACAGAAGACGAGTATTGAGATGACAGTAGACAACTGCCGATTGTCTACCTGCATGAGCTTGGGCGCGCCGCAAGGACCCAACGAGTTCCTAAATGTTAATGCACCGTTGCAACTAGGCGGCACACCCATAGATCTATTCCAACTTGGTCAGCGACTTAACTGGACCTACACGCCTAGCATGCAAGGCTTTTTCGGCTGCATACGCAATCTGACAATCAACAATCATACCTACAATTTGGGCGCACCTGCAATATCACGCAACATCGATTCGGGTTGCCAACGCGCCGTTGCTGTAGCGGTAAGTTTCGGCATTGATCGAAACTTCATCATTGCGATTGTGGCATGTATAATGCTCCTGCTTATTATACTACTGGCTGTGGTCGTGCAGAAGAAACAAAAGAACGGCTGGCATGAAAAAGACATTGATGATATTCGAGAAACGATAATCAACTACGAAGATGAGGGAGGCGGTGAGCGGGACACCGACTATGATCTCAATGTGTTGCGCACGCAGCCATTCTACGAGGAGAAACTCTACAAAGATCCACATGCGCTGCAAGCGATGAAAGATCCCAATAATGAGATACCCGATATTGGTGGGTTCTTGGGTGATAAAAAAGAAAATTGTGATCGAGAAGCGGGCACATATCCGGTGGATGATGTGCGGCACTATGCGTACGAAGGTGATGGCAATTCGGACGGCAGTCTGTCGAGTCTGGCGTCCTGTACTGACGATGGTGATCTCAATTTTGACTATTTGTCGAATTTCGGACCACGTTTCCGTAAATTGGCCGATATGTATGGCGAAGAACCTTCCGATACAGATTCAAATGTTGATGACGAACAAGGTTGGCGTATATAAAAACAAAACTGGAACTATAAAGCTTCCATTGACATTTCATGCAAAATGTAAAAGACTTTAAAGCTAAGCGCATATTTATACATACATACATACATATAGTAAATGTATTTGCATACATTCATACATGTCTAAATACAATTATGTATGCAATTGAAAGTATGTTTGTATGGAGGGCAGGTTGAATTGGATTTATGAAATTGCGTAAGCAACACACACACAAAGACAAATAGACATACATCCATACTACATACATTGGCGCTCGTCTTAATTTAATTTAATTTAATTTAATTTTTATAATTACCACTAATTTAATGCGAAAAAGAGTGATGAACATAATTATAAGACATTAAAAAACTGAATGTAGTAAAACATAAACCAGAAAAAGAACAAATATATGTACATTTGAAGTAGAACATGGTGACTTATATTTTTTGGTGAAATATATTGTGGACAATATCATGAGCTATATATACTTCGATGTACGAGTATATTCCACGAAGGAAACGAGTGATTTAAACAGATGCTTGGCGCTCACGTAAATAGCACATTTATTTTTTACAATATTCTCAATTATTTACGTGATAAATTTTTTCGTTATTGCTTATAAAAATATGCTAGATTTTATAACATAAACCATTTAAGTCAAAGTTTAAAACTTTGTGAAAAATTCAGGAAACTTAACAAATTAAAAAAAAAGATTTCATCAAAATTTTCATCTTTTTATTCAAAACCTTTAGAAACTTATTGGGTATGCAATTTAGTATAATACCTTGCACGTTTGAAAGTTTTGAACAATTCCGTTGATATTTGATAAGTTTTTTGTTGACGGTATCGGCATTTTCTTCCATACAAAGTATGTTCGAAAAAAAATCCACCATATTTGTATAAAAAACTAACAAAAAAATGTTTCATATAAAACATTGTGAATATTGTAAAAAATAAATGTGTGCAACTTACATGTTAAAACAAAAAATTAAAAAATTTTTCAGAAAATAAATAAAAAATGCGTTAAAATTATTGAAAACAAAACACGAAACAAGCATTTAGTTATTTATATTATTATTGTAATTCTTTTTAATTTTATTTGTGTTAACTCGTACGAAAATGATTCCTTTACTTCAAAGTATTTAAGTATTCCAATGTAATGGTAATATAATAATTCAAATCAAACTGAGTAAACTAAAAAGGCAATAAAGTATGAAAACTAATTAAACTAGGATCACTAAGGTCTGTAGGAAATTTTTTCTTTTCACTTAATTTACATACATGTATGTACAAGTACATACCTAGCGGTTAGCTGGGTAAAAGCTGTAATATTGAGTTACAAATAAATAATTTACTGTTGTTTAATTACATAAATGTTAGCAATACATAAATACAAAAACATGTTATTGTAACTAAGTGAAAAGTGAGCGTTTTAACATATCTTTTTTTTTTTAACTGTGTAGTCCCCATTTATACCTAGAAGTATATACAAAGCGTATAAATGTAATGTAGTATTTTCACCAAGCGATCTAAACTAGTAATAATAATGCGAAAAGCCACTTCTAGTTATAATAATTGAATAAAAAGAAAATAATAAAAATAAAAGTCCAGATGCGAATATTTGTTCATAGGCACCTAGTATGTATAATTACTAGTATGTATGCGTGTATGTAGCCCCACTGGGAAAATAGATAAACACCTTTCGAGGTAAGCCATGTTTTCTTTCAGTTTTTAGTACTAAAATTCTCATCATGGCCATCTCAAATGAACACCACCGACGACACATTACGTTGTCAGTTGCAAAACAACGTGCAAGCGCCGAACTACTTCGGCCACCCACGTCTTTGTTAAAGTAAGGGAGATTCGTCAGTGAAGTGGTAAGGACCGCCGGGTGAAGTGTAAGTTGCTGGTAAGGTATTGCCCTTTACCCGGCGGTCCTTACCCACTTTCCTGCCGAATCTCCATTACTTTAAAAAAGACGTGGCCGCCTTATATAAGTAGGAATTAAGAATGTATATTTGGTATCAGACATACCTCTGAGCCGCTTTACAAAGTAAGTTACGCATAATGCAGAGCAGTCGCTCGGAGTAGTTAGGCGCTTGGAAATAACTTCGGAGGTGTTCATTTTATGCTTTACTATGTAGCAGATGACACTGGCCATGATGGATGACAATTTTGGTACTAAAAACTGAAAGAAAACATGGTTGACCTCGTTAGGTGCTTACCTATTTTCCCAGTGGGGCCTTAATTATACACATACATGTGTACATACATATATATAAATATAAAATATTTTTGTAAGGCATTGATTTTTTACTGGCCAGAATTTATTAAAAACAAACGAGTAAATAAATATGATAGAAGTGTGAGAAATAATGAGTTTGAGAATCAAAATAAAAAGAAAACGAAAAAATTTTAAAATAACAAAATGCTGATTTTATTTAAACAATCATCTTAAATAAGAAAGGCGAAGCTTTTACATGAGTAAGTAAAAATCTATAAATACATATGTACATACATACATACATATCTACTTCACTACAGTACGTAATACATATTCATGTTAGAGGCGATTTTTAAAAGCACCTATTGAGGAATGACTTTATCTCCCCTATTTACAACTGGAATAACTGATAAACCTTGCGGCACTGTTTCTTGTTTTTGTGTATGCTTTTATTTGTGTGTATGTTAACATAGAAATTAAAATCTTAAAGGTTTGTCCTAACACACTAAACCAGCAGGTTTTACTAAACAGACCCCACGTACATTACTGTTTAGGTAAAAAGAAACCAGATTCGGATTTTGTATATGGAACTAAATTAAGTTTTTTAAAAAAAGTTTTTACTTTTTATATTTTCATAGTTTACTTTTGACCGACTCCATAAAAGGAGGAGATTATCAATTCGTCGGAATATTTTTTAACGTATGTTACAGCATAACTTTGGGCCACGTCATCCGATTTCTATAATTCTTTTTATCAAAGGAAAGGTGGTACCTCAGAGGTGGTCCCACATTAATATCGTAGTTATCGTATATAGTTCCGGCCATTTCGGTCATTTGTTTTATTTTATATTTAAAACAATTTTATACCCGACTTAAGGCCTGCCCAAACAGGCGCGGTTCGGTACAGTGCGTTATAGTCATGTACGATATGCGGTATGCATGTACAAGGCGGTACCTAACTATACCGCAGCGTGCACAGTTGACCACGCGGTATAAGCGGGTATATCGTAAGCAGAGTTGCAGCTAAGAGCTAAAGTTCTCCCGCAATAGATTAAAAAATTAATAATACTAGATTGATATTAACAAAAAACCATAATAAGAACTTCAAATTAAAGTTGAAAAAATTAATAAATATTAAGTTAGAAAGAAGAATGCGTCACAAAATAGTGCCGCTAACTTGACCTCGTCGCACTTCGCGTGACAACAATGTTTCTTGCTGTACCGCGCCTGTTTGAATGCCTTTGCGTATATCGTTACCGCGTATCGTACGGGATTATACCGATTATCCTGTACCGTACAGACAGAAAAAGGTCAGCTAAGTATATTTTTATCAACACATGATATGGTTATATTTACATTATTTGGTTATAGTTACTAAATCATATATTGAGAGAAATATTTTAGCTCACTTTTTTTCTGGATGTACCGCGCCTGTTTGCGCAGGCCTTTATTGCGATCTTCTAGAACGCTGCAAGATTATACGAAACCTGCGCTCCAAGACGGGTAACAATTTTCTGTGTAAAATATATAGGGATACAAAAAATTATTCAAATCGAAAAAAGCTTATACTGGCGAATAAGCATCTTGAAGATCACGTGCTTTTTGTGAGATTATTATTTAAATGTATATTACGACGTAAGCTTTGAGTCGCTTCAATAAAGGTTCTTGGCAACACCAGGGACCGCCAATAGATGTACTAATCGACATAAAGCAAATTGTATGACTTTTGGGAGAGTGATATAATAAAATTTATTGATCTAAGTACTCGTTTGTTACATGCATTTTTTGTTTAGTTATATACTTTCGTAAGTATCCTAGCTTAAATACAAATCGAACCGCAAACAGTATTCGGTTGATCCCAAAGGGGTCTTCCCATAATTTAAAATAAAATCCCTTTTGCCTCTTCCATCTCGAGTTGCTCAGCTTATCAGCTATACTACGCTATTTATAGTTATTTTATGCATATAAAGGCATTTTAAATGAAGCTGCGTTGTGTATATGTAGTAGGGATGTTAATTTTTTTTGGCCTTTTCCGATTCCGGGATTTCCGGGATGGCGTTGTCACAATCCCGGAACTGCGGGATTAGTCCCGGGATTTAGATATTCATTACTTTTCAACAACTTGAATCGAAAAAATTGCTTCTAGGTTGTTTGGGAAGCTCTCCTGCCATGAAATAAATGATAAATAAATGGGTTTGAAACCTACTTTTTTATTTGAAGTGGCGTTTTTATTTTTTCTCTCTGACCGCAGGATTTATTTTGAAGTACTTTGTAATTTCAAAGATATGATTGATTCCAAAAATTATTAAATAAATTCAATGCAATGTAGAATAAAAATATGGGGGTAACAAATGCAATAGAAAATTTCTAAAGAATTTAAAATAATTAAATTTTTTGGGATTCACAAGGACTAATAGGTAATTTTTAAGCTGACAAAGTTAGCAGAACTAAATTCGAGGATGTTACCGAGTTTATATAAGCCCTTAACATATAATTTTTTCAAAAACAAATCTTGCTAAATTTCAAGAATAAAATTTTAAAATGACATTTTCAATATTTACCAGCCCTTCTGCACCAGAAATTTGAATCTGTTTAAATTCTACAGGCTTTCCTCATTCATTTTATACCAATACTTCTTCTCTAAGCACATTTCTCTGAATTTTTAAAATCATTTTTGAATTATTGACGTCAGAGTGAAAAACTAAAAACGCAATTTCACTATATTTGGCCCATGGTTTCGCGAATATATTGATATTTGTGTATAAAATTTACTATCGCGCGGTGATATATGTATAAAGAGCTAAACATTTATAAAAAAATAATTATTATTAAATAAAAAAAGAAATATAGCCAATACTGGTCAAGAAAAGGAGTTTCTATTATTGCCATCAGTGCAAATTACAAATCCCGAAAATTACTTGCCATGAATCCCGGGATTTTCGATACCTTAAAAAGTCTGGGATCCCGGGATTAACATTCCTAATATGTAGTATATATATGCATGAAAAACATGGATAATGTTATGTTTACAAGATAGTTGCAAAAAAGATGATGCAGCGTATTGCCCTTACATTGCCCTACTTACGGAAGTCAAGTTTGTTTATAAGAACTCAAAGCAGTTTTTATGTATTACATGCATACATATCGCTCATTTACTTTAATAGTGTAATAACTCAAAAAAGCAAAATTTGAGAAAAACGGCTTTAAAGTTTTGAATTTACATATACTACTATAGTAAAAATGAATACATATTTTGTTCTAGTGAGATACTGGTAATCAATACAGCTTTGAAATACTTACACAACATAGAAGAAGAGGTGGTGATAATTTCTGCATACTTAACTCAATATTTGTATTTTTTGGATTATGACCATGAGCTTATGTATATATATTAAAGATCTGCATCGGA